AAAAGTAAACTCCCTTAAAAAAAGATTCCTTTCAAATGATTCCATGATATCAAATCAGTTTGGAAGACTGATTTATATTGGGCAAGTGCATGTCATAGTAAAGGCTGAGTTGACCTAACAGGGCATGGCTACAGTGATTGTAGTTACACTCCAGTGAGGCAGTCGATGAGTCGAAGCGAACCAATGCATGCTCTTCAGTAGAGGATGGGAGACTTGGAATGAAAAAAGAGGTCCTTAAATTGGATAATCACTTTGCCATGGTGGTAGGAAATGACAATGACCAAACAGTAGTTTACATAATAGGAAAGGATGTCATGGATCCAAAGATGGCTATCTCTACATCCAGCTAGCCATCTCGCACAACCTCTGACCTGTGATGGCAGCCGGTTGACTAAGGATCCTCATCCTCAAACCCACCCTAGAATCTCCCACTTCAGAGCCTAGCACAGGCCATTCTTTACCTTCTGTCCTTCCCAAACCAGGGACTTTGATTTCTACCTTTCTGCTCTATTAAACTAAAGTTTTCCTGAGAATAGGGCATTGTCTCTTTATCTTTGTGTATTTTAAAAGACTTACTGTATTGTCTGAAGCTCAATAAAATGTTCTAGAAGAGAGAATAAGCTTCAAGTTTCCAAGATAGCAAGTAAGATTTGGGTCACCTTAGATAAAGTGGGGACCCTGAAGATGGAGGCAAAACTGGGACAAAAGAAGCATCGTCAAACTATCTGAAATTATTTTTAATTATAATTATCTATTCTAAATATTATTGTCAAAAAGGAGACCATGAAATTTATTCTTGCTTTATTAAACTAGGGCAAACAAGTCTTCCTGTGTGCAAATTTTATCATTATTTAAACAGAAAAGAATAGTCTTGCTGACAATGATGAGTAAGCTGGCATGTTAGACTTATTTCATCACCCAGCGCACAGTAGTTTGCAGAAGTAATTAATATAGTTGTTGTTGCTATTCTTGTAATATTATTACTGGCAATTTTTTTTGAACCTTGATGACCTTAAATGATTTCTTGGTCTCCAATTTCTATCTCACTTTCTCAGTTAGGTGAGAAATATATATAAATATATATATATTGCTTTTCAGATATTAACATTTGAGATATTTCATCTATCTATTTATTTACTTATTTATTAATATTTTTACATCCTTACCACAGTTTTCCCTCCCTCCTCTCCTCCCAGGCTCGCCCTACCTCTCCTCTCTCCTCTCCCCACTCCCATCCACTCCTCCTCAGTTTCTCTTCAGAAAACGGACAGGTCTCCAATGGATATCAACTAGCCATGGCATATCAAGCTGCAGTAAGACTAGGCACGTCCTTTTCCTATTAAGGCTGGACAAGGCAATCCGGTAAGAGATGCAGGCAACTAAGTCAGAGATAGGCCCTGCTTCCTCTGTTAGTAGTTCCACAAGAAGACCAAACTACACAACTATAACATATATGGAGAGGACCAAGATTAGTCCCTTGTGGGCTCCCTACTTGGTGGTTCAATCTCTGTGAACCCAGGTTAGTTGATTCTGTGTGTTTTCTTGTGGTGTCCTTGACCCCTATGGCTCCTAATATCAGGATTCCACATGCACTACCTAATGTGTGGCTGTGTAGCTCTGTATCTGTTTACATCAGTTGCTGGTTGAAGCCTCTCTGATGATGACTGGGCTGGGCACCAATCTATGGGCATAGAAAAATATCATTAGAAATCATTTCATTGATGTTTTTTTGACACTGTTGTTTGGTTCTATCCTAGATTTCTGAGCTATCTAGCCTCTGAGTCGTGGCCCTCCAGGCAGTGTCAGGAGCGGGCCCCCTTTCATGGTTCGGGTCTCAAGTTGGACCAGTCCTTTGTTGCCTCCTCCCACAATTTCTGTGCCACCTTTCCTAAAGCACTTCTTATGGGCAGAAAAATTTGTAGGTCAAAGGTTTGGTGGCTGGGTTGTTTGGTGTCGCAGTCCGTCTATTGGAAGTCTTGCCGGGTTATAGGAGAGGGCTGGTTCAGCCTCAGTACCTCCCATTGCTTAGAGTCTTAGCTTGAGTCACCCTCACAGATACCTGGGAGTTTATATTGCCCTAGGTTTCTAGCTTGTCCCAGAGATGCCTCCCCTATTCCAGTTCTCTCTCCCAGTACTCTTTCCCCCCAGCCTCACCTCTTCTGATCCCACCTGTTCCCATCCCCTCCCTGACCCAGGCTCCTTCCCCCATCCATCCTTGATGTCTATTCAATTTACCCTTCACAGTGAGATTCATGCCCCCCACAATCTTTCTTGTTATGTATCTTCTCTGGGTCTATGTTTAAAAGCATGTTTATCCTTTACTTCGCTGCTAATATCAACTTATAAGTGAAAGAGTATGTTGGTCTTTCTGAGTCTGGATTATTTCATTCAAGATGCTTTTTTATTTTTTTCTAGTTCCATCCATTTGGATGCAAATTTCATGATGCCATTTTTTTTTTAACAGATGAGTAGTACTCCATTGTGGAAATGTATCCATTCTTTGGTTGAGGAACATCTAGGTTGTCTCCAATTTCTGGCTATTACAAATAATGTTGCTATAAACATAGCTGAGCAAATGTCCTTGCGGTAGGATGGAGTATCCTTTGGGTGTACGCTCAGAGGTTGTATAGCTGGGTTTTGAGATAGATCTATTCCCAGTTTCCTGAGAAATTGTCATATTGATTTCCAAAGTGAGAACTTGGAAATACAAGTTTGCACTTGTATTTGCACTTGACTATAGAAGTTTGCACTCCCATCAGCAAGGGAGAAGTATTCCCCTTGCTCCACATTCACTAGGATGAAATGTCACTTGCATTAGCCATTCTGACAGGTATAAAATGGAATTTCAGATTCTTTTTGATTTGCATTTCTCTGATGGTTAAATATGTTGAATGCTTCTTTAGGTGTTTCTCATCCATTTGAGATTCCTCTATTGAGAATTTTCTGTTTAGCACTGTACCCCGTTTTTATTTGGATTATTTGGTTTGTTGATCTCTAGCTTCTTTAGTTCTTTGTATATTTTTGATAATAGCCAAATATGTGTGTTTGGTGAAAATTTTTCCTTTTCTTTAGGCTTCCGTCTTCCCCTTTTGATGCTGTCTTTTTCAGTACAGAAGCTCTCAGCTTCATGCAGTCCCATTTACTAATTATCAATCTTAGCACCTGTGCCTATGTGAGCGGTATTCTGCTCAGGAAGTCGTCTCCTGTTCCAAAGCCTTAAAGACTATTCCCTACTTCTTCTTTGATCAGATTTAGTGTGTTTGTTTTTTGTTGAGGTCTTTGATCCACTTGGCCTTGAGTTTTGTGACTTCCAAAAATATCGGCCACTCAATATTTAAATATTTTAAACTTCCCATGCACTGGGTGGGAATTTCGGGCCCCTGATATTGTCTTCTTTATACTGTACACCTTTACATTGTACTGTTATGTGTACAGCTATATATTATAGAGTATGTTGTATGTAATGGAAAAGTATGATTTACGTTGTACTGTTATGTGTACAGCTGTATATTATAGAGTATGTGGTATGTAATGGAAAAGTATGAACCAAATGAATTTTATTCTTTAAACATTTCAAAGTAATAACCCAAGCCCCCAAAATGTAATAAAAATTTCCTGTTTGATTTTACACAGATAGTACGTTAAGTTTGAAAGATATTAAAGCAGTTTCAGAGAAATGTAAGATTTTTCTCACCAATATTTATTGCTATCTTGAGATATTTGAAGCCTCTAACTTGTTATGATTCTATAAAGGAAATAACACTAAATTTAACTGGGAACCAAATATGTTGATATAAAAGGCAATTTTTCATATGTCATTGCTCTCCTCTTATTCTTAAAATACCATTTTTTTCAGCTTATCTACTTTCAAATAGTCCCAAAATAATAGTTTTTCTCTGACTGATTGATTATAGGAATCTAGCTCATAGACTACACCTGAAGTGTGACATTTTAAATTGCATACTCCCTTCATTCGCAATGTTTAAGAAAATTTTTATTTTGTTCTGCAATTTCTCACTTGGAGATGGAACAGCATATCGGCGTGGGTCCAGCGGATACCTCTGTAACTCAAGAAGAAGTATAATCTCAATTTGCTGCGTGGTCTTGGATTAGCAGAACAAAGATGTACCCATGGGCACCTAGCTGGTGTTTCAAGGTAGCATCATATCAGGGTACCTGCTTCCGTGGAAAGAGAGCATGCTCAGAGGACTCCTACAGGGCGGTAACCTCTCCTGTCTTCATCTCCTTACCCTTGGCTTTTCCTTACACACCTTGGTTCATCCTTCTACTTTTCTCATGAAACTGTGGGGTTTGGGAATCCCTAGAGCCCAGTTTCGCCCATTTGCAGATGTTAAACATCCCCATCTGTTCTTACTTTCTGCTACCACTTCCACAATAATGGACTCTGATCCCTTGCCCCTTATCTGCACAACAGGTCTCTGTATCCATTCACTAGTGGGAATCTGTATTAGTTACTTTTTTATTTTTTTTACCTTACCTTGTTTTTTTAATCAAACACCTAAGAAAAGCAACTTAGAAAAAAAAAGTGGTTATTTTGGCTTGCTGTTGGGAGATACAGTCCATCACGGTGATAAAATCATGGTAGCAATAGCATGAGGACAGGTGGTCACATTTTATTTGCCACCAGGAAAAAGAGAGAGATGAATGCTGATAATCAGTTTCTCTTTTTACTCTGGTCAAATACACCAGCCCATGCAGTAGTGCCACGCACATGAAGATAGATTTTTCTATCTCAGTTAACTTGACCTAGGAATTCCTTTACAAACATGCCCAGAGGTTTATCTCTTAGATGAGACCTGTGAAATTAACTTTTCATCTTAACCATCACAATGCCTCATTGTGGTAGACCATCTGCCACTTACCAAGACAAGCTTAATGTCTTTCTCCTGCGCTCTATATTACTATTATATACTCAGTCATGATTAACGATATTAAATTGTCTGTACTCGGTTTCCTAGTGTATAAAAATCAATGCATTGCCTACCCCTAGAAGTGTTGCACATGTGGCTACTGGGTCCCATGTGTGTCAGAAGGAGGCAGAGAGGAAAGAAGCTATGTCTATGCACAGTGCTCTGACCTATGTTCATAAGTCTGAATGACTACTAGGCTAACATTCCCTGAAAAGAAAAATTAACCTGAGATAAGCACCAGTCTGGCAACAGGGGGCTGGGACAGGGAGCTAGCTTGAGATGAGCACTAGTTGGGCACCGTGCAGGCCTGGAGTGGAAGCAGTCCATGCTCAAAATGACCCCTTATGGCAACACCATAATGCATGAGCTGGGCGTAGCACTCCTGAGACCACTCCTGAAACAACCCCGAACACTCAGAGACCCAGACGCCAGTAAGAGAATCATCTAAGTGGTGGAGAAATGGAAGAGAAAGAGACATGTAAGGACGTGGGCATGAAGAGAGGCAGAAGTGGAGACTCGAGGGTAGTGAGGAACAGCCTGATGTAAGTAGACAGTGATGTCACCTCCTCCATGGTTGGGTCTTGGCCTGTGCTGCCACCAGGGGCCAAATTTGGGTCTATGGCCCTGATGCAACAGGACCTGCTACCAGGAAAATCTAGGCAATGTTCCTGGTCTGGGCTGCTGGCTCAGGACATGTTGAGGTCAGAAGGCCGTGCAGAACTTACCCAACCGCTCACCTTGGCATTGTGGGAGAGCTAGCCCTGGTGCCATGAAAGCAAGAGAGCTGACCCTGCTCCTAACCAGATTTAGTACTCAGGAGACTCTCCCCGCTCCCATGCACATTATGGGAGTTGCAGGTGAGCTGGCCTGAGGATGTGTGTGGGAAAACTGGCTCATCTACTGTGTAGTGGTGTAGACAAGGGAAAAATTCCCTCCTCCACCTAAGGCAGGTGAGAGAGCGGGGCCATCAGAGCAGGAGAGTTGTCTCTGTCCCTCACCAGATGTAGCACTCAGGAGAGCAGTTCCTTCATGTCATGTCACTTAGGCAGCACAGTAGAGCTGACCCTGGTGGTGGGGGCATGAATGAGCAGGCCCTGAGGGTGCGAGCATTGAAAAGCTGGTCCCGACACTTGTCTGCCATGTAGTGATATAGGCAAAAGAGAGATGACCTCCACATGCCCCTTACCTCCTACAGCAGGTAGGAGAGCTGGGCACAAAGTAATCAGAGCAGGAGAGCTATCCCAATCCCTCATCTGCTGCAGCACTCGGGAGAGTGGACCCTACACCTCATCTGGGTAACAGAGTAGAGCTGATCCTGATGGCAGGGATGCGGATGAGTTGGGCCCGAGGGTGTGAAAATGGATGAGCTGGCCCCACAATTTGCCTGACAAGTGGGCAAAGGAACTATGCCGTCTTCTACTCTAGTCTCTTGCCACCGATGGCAGGTGGGAGAGCTGGTCCTGGGGTCAAGAGCGCAAGACAACTGGCCCTGCCCCTTACCTTCTGCAGAACTTGGGAAAGAACTTGGGCCCTGCATCTTGCCTGGGCAGCGAAATAGAGCTGGCACTAGATGTGGGAATTGTGGGTGAGCTGGACCTGAGTGTGGGTGAGCCTGCCCTGCCTCTTGCTGGCTGGGTGGTGGTGCCATCTATAGCAGGGAGGGGAGTTGACCGTGCAATCATGAGAGTGAACAACTGGCCATATCCCTCACCAGCTGCAACATTTGAGAGAGTGGACTCTGTACTTCACCTGGGCAGCAGAGTAGAGCTGGCCCTGGTAGTAGAGGTTGCTGGTGATACAGCCCCAAAGGCATGAGTGTGGGAGAGCCAACAGGCTAACTAGCACAAATATCTCTCAGGCCCAGATCTTCAAATTGGCCCTCCCCAACATCTACTCCAGTGAACTGCTGGAGAGCAAAGGAGCTGATCCTACAGAACCAGAACTACGTATCTTCACGACAAAGGGCAACAACAGTATATCTAAGAGGAGTTCCTGTGAGGTTCCAGTGTCAATAAAGTGGCAGAAGCCATGGGCCTTGTAGCAGACCGATGAGTCATTGCAATGAATATTTGCAAGCAAAGAAGTGTGTACAAATGGATATACTGTGGTACACATTGTGATAGTCTAGTTTCACAATATTTTTTCCCTATTGGTAAGGAGGATGAAAGAGTATGGGACAGGTACAAGGGAGATGGAGATGAGTAGGATTGGGCCGCATGATGTGAAATGCACAAAGAACCAATAATATTTTTTAAAATACCTCAAGTAGATTGGATGTAGTTCCCTAAGCATCCTCATCTATGATCTAGGAGTCAAACAATGATTAACTGATGAGAAATTCAGCAAAGCAATGAGATGAAAGTGACATGGATTATAACTACAGAGGAACACACAAGGCATGCAGAAGGAGTCCATATATTAATATCCCAGAGGAACAGGTCATGGCAAGATGAATACAGAAAGAGTAGAGATTCAGGAATATAGAAGCTACACTTGGCGGGGAAGACTAAGAAATATTGATTGGCTTATGGGACAAACCTTAGAAGTTTGACAAAATGGTTTGGCTTTAAGTGACATCATAAGCCAACCACGATGGGGAGTCACTGTGAGAAATACTACTTCACACTAGGATGGAAGGTGGCAGGAGGAGATGAAACAAGGAAGGACATCTAGTAGGAAGACTGATTCCAAGGCAAGACTACAGATTAAAATCATATGTTAGCATATTTGTCATATAAATGCCCTCAGTAACATTTCCTAACCCCTGGAGGCCTCAGTTACTTCTCTGTGGAGTATAGCACGATGAAGAAGAAGAGAGAGAGGAAGAGGGAAGCCTATAGTGACAATTATCAGTGTCCATTGTAGGAAGTCTAGGAAGCCTTGCTTGAATGAAGTCCTGAATGAATGTATGCTGTTGACACGGTTGTAGCCCTATCACGGACTCCAGAGCCATGAATAAAGTTAAAAAACCCTTTTCCCCAAGGATGAGGCTTAGAGGAGAATTGCTCTGCATCATCTGTGCTACTTTTAATGACTGAAATATGCTCTCTAGTCCATTACATATTTGGGCTATATCCTTATGCCTGAATTCATCAAGCAGACAAACCACAGAGAGGAAGATAGCCAGGCTGAGATTCTACACACACACACTCCACTGTCGCATCAACATTATCTAATGTATTTTA